TGGGATGTGCCCTCAACCAAGGTACATGCCCTTGACCGGAATCAAACCCAGGACCCTTCTGTCCGCAGGCCGACGCTCTATCCACTGAGCCAAACCGGTTTTTGCTACTTTTTTTAATGTGTCTGCTTGACAATTAAAAAATCACATTTGTGGCTTGCTTTATATTTCTGTTGGACAGCGCTGCCCCCGACAGCTGCGTGGTGTCTAATTATCCCCTAACTGCTCTTCACAGCCATTGGCTGATTCAGTCTTCTCAAAAACCCTGTTAGGTCTGTGTTATTGCCCTTATTTTATGGATGACAGAACAAGACATTGAATAAAATGCTCTGGTTCATGCAGCAGTGAATGTGGGATAAGAACTCGGCAATCTGATTCCCAGACCTTCCCATCTCCTAAATGCTTGGTGCAGGCTGTGCTTCCCAGAGGCAGAGAAGTGGTTAGGGGCCGATCCAACTGTGGAGCTAGACCTTCCTTCCCATCTCACTTAACCCCTTACTAGCTGATAACAAGTTACTTAACCTTTCTGTGCCTCAGTTTGCTCATGTGTAAAGGGGGGAATAACCTTATTTCATGGGGTTGTCTAATCTATTAAATAAGAAAATATGCAAAGCACCAAGCACAATATCTGGCACATATTAGCTGTAGTTGTTATTCAACCCTGTCTACCTCTCTTTGCAGATGGATATTTAACTCTTCTGCGTCCAGCAGACTTTTACTGAAAACTCACTTCCTCAGGAAAATCTCTCTTGTCCTGATCCCCGCCCACCCTACCCCACTACCCAGATTGGGACAGTGCCCCTGTGTTATAGGCTCAGAGAGTACCATACAGCTCACCCTGTTGCACTTAATTTCAGTTTTACCTTTACAGTTAAGTTATTTGATTTAATGGTTTTCCACTCAGAGACTATAAGATTAAAAAAGATAGGGCTATTGTCTAGTTTTGGGTCACCATTGTGTTCTCAGCAATAGCTCAGTACTTGACATAATAGGAATTCCAGCAAATCCTTTGAATGAATGAGAGCAAATATTTTGGCTTCCTGAACATTTACAAAACATTGTCATTGCTGGCTGGCTCGTTTTTCTTTGGTAAATTTTAACCTAGAACTGTCAAGAGAATTAAATGAGATAATGCATTTGAAACACTGTGCCTGGCAAATGGTAAATCCTCAATAAGCATGAATGTTTTAACAGTGCAACAGTTAGCAGCTGGCCCCATCGTGCACAGGTTTTGGAAAGGGCTTGCATTTCAGAGCAGTAACTGCCAGCCCTGGGTAATGTAGGATATTTTTCTTCTCTTCTCAACCCCTGTGTCTCCTCTTTTATCTTCACTCTTAAAGACCTTGCTTCCTAATTCACAGATCAATTGAAGTAGTTAGAAGGGCACTTATGCAGACTCCCACCATTGTATTTACATACTTATCAGTGTTTGTAACTATAGACATTGCTTTCCCAAACTTTAGATGTAATATTCATGCTTCTGTCTAAAATCAGTTCCTGTACATTAAACCTCATCCACTTTATTCATCACTTCAGCAGTCTTCCATGTCTTCTATATTATAACTTTTTCTTCTCTCCTGGATCTACTCTTTCCCCAAAAATAATAGTGTCTTATAATAATAGTGTCTTATAATAAATAGTGTCTTATATTAATTTTTGCTCCCAAAGATGCGCTAGGCCTTATTTTCAAGGGATGTCTTATTTTTCCATGAAGAAGAATACAGTACACATTTATTGTTAGATGAAAATAAAGGAAATTTATTACCTGTATACGGTACGGTAGTACGGTAGTTGTCAACACAAACCAGACAAACTGTGAATCCTACAGTATCAAGAATTTACTCATTTATTCAATGACAATCATGTCATCATCTTCTGGAACATCATCCTAACAATCCAATCCCTGAATTTCCTGGTGAATTTCTTGTGACTCCCATTTCTTTCAGAATCAGTGGACCAAATCTCTCATGTTTAGCCTCGGGGGGGGGGGGGGCTTATTTTCAGGGGATGCCTTATATTTCACTCAGAAGGAAAACTTTAAATGGGTCTTATTTTCGGAGGATGTCTTATTTTTGGGGAAACACGGTATCAGATAGCATAGAAGCATACCGATAAATTTTTCTTAAAATTTCTTATTTTAATACATTTTTCTTAAAATTTTTGTTTTTAAAATAAAGTACGTTTGACTTTGCTTTCCCTCCAGCCCCTACCCCATTTATCTGTTCTCCTTTGCAGCCAAACTGTACGTACTGTTTTCTGTTTTCCTACTGTTATTTGTCCAACTCATTCCAGTCAGGCTTTTGCCCCATCTGTCCAAACTGCTCTTAAGGTCGTGATGACTCTGTGAATTCACATCCATTGGCCAGTTCTCAGTTCTCCCCTTATTGGACTTATCATTTGCTAGAATTGGTCACATGTACCTCCTTAATACACTTTTGTTTATTGGCTTCCAGGACAACATGTGCTCTTGGTTTTATTCTTCCTCATTGGTCATACCTGAATATACTTTTCTGTCTTCTTTCCTATCTCTTACCAGGGCTTATTCCTTGGCCCTCTTTTCTTTAATTATGCTCATACTCTGGTGATATCAAGGTTCAAGGATTTATGCTAATAACTCCAATTTAAGTCTTCAGCCCAGATCCCTCTTCTACTCATGTAGCCAACTGCTTACTTAACATATTTCATGTCTAACACTTAAGCCCCTGATTTTCTTTCCAAAACAATATTTACTCACAGTTTTCAATGCATCAACTGATGGCAAATCTATATTACTAAGTGCTCAGACCAGAAGACTTGGAGGCATTTTTTACTTTTCTCTCTTTCCTACGTCCCACATTTCATTTATCAGAAAAATCATGCTGGCTCTACCGTCAAAATATATGCAGAATTTGACCATTTCTCACTTCCTATATGGTTACCCTGGTGTGAGCAGTCATCTCACCGGTCTTTCTGTATCCAACTTGCTCCCCTCCAAACTGTTCAACATAGCAGCCAAATGACCCTTTTAAATTTATCAGATCTCTATTCCAGAGTTTTCAGTGACTCCTCATTTCACCAAGAATAGAAACCCAAGTCTTTACAATGGTCTGATTCTACCTATTTTTCTGCTATTTAGTCTTCTGATCCAAACTGTCTTGTTCATTCTTTGAGCTTCCATAATTAAAGAAAAGAGGGCCAAGATAGCACCAGTCTTAGGTGCTATCCTTCTGTTGGACCATTCTTTTTCTAAATAGGCATACTGGTAATTCACCTGAGGGCGTCCTCCCACTCCAGTACTTACTTTAAATTTCATCCTAGTAACAACACGTCCACCTCTTGTAAATTCCCTTATTGTGTTTTCCCCCCATTGCTTCTTTTTAATTATTGTGTTCTAATAATTAATTCTAATTAATTATACTCTGAAGACAGATATAATATTGTCTTCTCCCACTGGAAAGTACCGTAAGCTTAATGAAAGAAGAGGGGTGTGTGTGTGTGTGTGTGTGTGTGTGTGTGTGTGTGTGTGTTTGTCCATTTGACCTCCAATGTATCTGAAGTGTCCAGAATGGAGCCAGCATCTAAGGGATTTAAGCAATATTTGACTATTTTGACTGGAGACATCAGGGAACACCTTAATAATGACATGTTGCTCTTTGAAGGCAACTGGATTTGAGTCTGGCCTAAGAGGCTGACACCAATTTGGAAAGGATGTTAAGTAAGGTTGAGTTATATGTTTCTATATATATTTAAGTCTTTGCTTGAAAATCTAAAATGACAGCAATGTTCTTTAACCTGTTAACCGAGCGGGATGTATAAATACGTCAAACGTAAACAATACCAGGTACGAATAGGACATATGAATACATCCTTGAAATATATGTTGCGCCCTGAGAGGGACGGTATATATTTTTTGTAATCTTTATAATTGTTTGTAAAATTTATAATTTTTTAATTCGATGTTTCAATTTTTTTGTTGGTATTCTTTTCTATTTTTTTGTAATTTTGTATTTTCCTTTGTGCTTTATATATAAATAAACGAAAATATATATATATCATTTATTTTAATTAAGTATAAATAAAAAAATAATAATATGAAATTACGTCCTCCGGGCATGAAGTGCGTGCTGACACGTCCTAGTGAAAGAGTATGTGCCCATTACAGGTTGTGTAATTAAAAAGGGAACTCCCCGGTTAATAGGTTTTAATTACACTGAACATGGTTCCTGTTTGCATGCCCTCTTTCAAATAACTAGGAAGATACTAGTGAATCCGTTTTCAATACAGCATATTTAATATGGCAAACATGATTTGTGCAGGAAGTTAACACTGTTGTGAAAAATTGTGAGCATGGTATTTTCACAATGCCTTTTCATGTTTATTAGAGTTGTTTCTTTATTCCTTTAATTCTTCTCTTACCTTGATTACCTGCATAAAGATATAATTATGAGACCCACCTTTTCTTAGCATTTAAGGAAACTTAGCACGCAACAAACTAAATAGTTTCCTTATACTGCAATTCTTAAAGCAAAATTAAATATAGTCACCATTTTTTGCTCTTGCTTGATTCAGTCTCAAATCGGGTGATAAAATCTCGAGACATTCTTAGAACAAGACCATAAATATGACCACTTACCGGTAAGTCAGGAAGAGCCCAGCTAATGTGGCTTAGTGATTGAGCTTTGACCTTTGATCCAGGAGGCTGTAGGCTCGATCCCCAGTAAGAGGTAACCCATTGAAGATTCTATCAATTATGTTTCTCTCTCTTTCTCTCTCTCTCTCTCTCACTCTCTCTCTCTCTTTCTCACACTCTCTCTATCTTACCCTTCCTCTCTGAAAATCAATAAAAATATAATTTTTTTAGAAGAAGTCAGGAAGAAAATCTTTAATACTATGTTTTTATATGAAAGTAGTATTGCAATATATATGTAACTATATTTTTAAATTTTTATTATATGGAGTTTTTGTTTAAGCTTAAGTACTTTTATTTTCTCTATTTACAGTAGCCTAAAAACAGAAAAAAAATTATGGAGGCAGATATAATTGCAGATCTTCGACGCAAGCTCAAGGAGGCTGAAGAAGAGCGACTAAAAGCTGCACAATATGGTTTACAACTAGTGGAGAGCCAAAATGAATTGCAGGAACAATTAGATAAATGTCGTAATGAAATGATGACCATAACTGAGGTAGGACTTTAGACTCCTCTGTTTATAAAGGTGTACTTAACTATTGAAAATTTGTGCTGTCTAGAGATTATTGTAAATATTATTTTCTTTTCTGAAGATTTTAGATCTAGTTTCCACCCACCCCCGTCCCCAATAAAGAGGAATGAACTAAATGAATTCCTAATGTTCTTTCTGACCCCAAGTGTTCTGACTTTGGAAAATTAAGTTATGATTGCTCTCTTCACCACATATTAGATTTTAGATTTTGTTTTGTCTGTACTCTTCGTAGGTGGCCTCACTTGTTTCGTAGCTTTGGGTAACATCTAAATGCTCTGTGACACTACACCAAATTCTCTACTAAAGTCTAGACTGGGCATCTCAAACTTAATATAAACAGAAGAGTTGGTTTTTCTTGCAGTTTTCTTTAACTTATGCAGTAAATGCAATAACATTCATATAGTTGCCTGAGCCAGAAATGTAGTAGTTTTACTCAATATTTTTTGCCCCTTCTTTCTCATTTAATCCATTAGTAAGCTCCAGGAACTTGACCTACAAAACATTTATTTATACTATTGCCACTCTAGTCCAGACCACCATCCTCTCTCCCTATATTGTTACACTAGCCTTCCAACCCAGTTGCCTAATTCTCTCATTTCTGTTCATACTGTTCATTCTTTACTTAGCAGCCAATGGTCATTGAAGAATATACAAAAGATCATGTGACAGCCCCGCTATAAACATACATTGGCTTCCAATTATATGTACAACAGAACCTGAGCTCCTTACCTGGATTTTCAGATCCCTGTGTGATCTAAGCCCTGCCAACCTTTGACCTTATCTCAAACTACTTCCCCTTGTTTTAACTGTAGTAGTTCTGCCTTATGGACTGTACACGAGCTGTTGCCTCCATCTGAGTTGTTCATATTAAAATACATTGTTTTAAAAATTGAGCTATCAGCTGTTAAAATGTACATGCATTTTTTTGGGGGGATAACCTGTATATTGTAAAGCTTCCATCATTCACTCTCTTAATTCTATGTGGTGCTAAAATTATCTCCAGAATAAAAGCACCATGAGAGAGGACATTTTGTCTGTCTTTTCACTAGTGTGTCTCCAGTGTCTGGCACACATTTACTAAAAAAGGAATAAATCAGTTTTATTTAGTATATGCTCAGTAACATGTAAACTAATCTTAAATTTTAAATGTCGCAGGTAAAAATAACTAATGGCAACTCTTGTTTTTTAATTTTCTTTTTTTATTTAATCTAATTTTATCTTATTAAAGAATACTTTTATTGATTTTTAGAGAGATGAAGGGAGGGAGAGAGAGAAACATTGATGTGAGAGTAAAACAATGATGAGCTGCCTCTTGCATGTCCCCCTACCAGGTATGGAACCTGCCACTCCAGTATGTGTCTTAATGGGGAATCAAACTGGCAACCTTTCAGTGCACGAGATGACACCCAACCAACTGAGCCATACCAGCCTTTTTTATCTTATTTTTTAAAGTTTGTTAAAGGAGTCTCAATTGTTGGCCCTTTTATCTTTAAGCTCTCTTGTCAGTAAGCAAAAGTCCTATTAAATACTCCTTTCATCTCAACATTGTATTCATTTAAAGAGTCATTTATGAACATTCCTTATATAACTACATTCTAAAGTTAACAGCTGGCTTAGTATTTCATTTTACCCCTAGTCCACTGTTTGTTCATTCTCTTCAGAGCTACAGTTAGAGCATATCATTATCAAATCAAGTAATTCTCATAAGGAAAACTTAAGCGATATTAAAATATTTTTTTCCTAGCAGAGATACACTTAATACACTGATGTGCCATGGTATACTTTTACTACCTTGATAAGGTTTCAAAGCAATTACCATTTCCGTAGAATGTACTTGAATATAGTCTCAAAATACTCCTTTGGGGGGTTTTAATTTTTTAAGATTGATTAGCTACAAAGTTACTCCAGATTTAACATGTGGTTTTTACTTAGAAAGTAGCAAATGTATAAAGCAGGAATGAAACAGTTGAAGGTGAGAACTGCTTATATGTGATGGCTTTAAGTTGTTTTTATGCAATTGAATTGTAATTAAATCTGCTTTCAGAATTATGAGCAAGAAAAATACACTCTTCAGAGAGAAGTTGAGCTCAAGAGTCGAATGTTAGAAAGTTTGAGTTCTGAATGTGAAGCTATTAAACAAGATCAAAAACTGCACCTGGAGAAATTGGAAGAACAACAGAGCAGAACGCATGGACAGGAAATGAATGAACTAAGAAATAAGGTTTGGATATCTATGTATTTCAGAACAAAAATGTTCTATGCTTATGTAGCAATCTGTAAACTTTAGGCGATGAAGATTTTTCTTAGTATCATCTATGCAAAATAACTGAGATCAAGAAGAACCCTATCTTCATATGAGGCATGGGAACACTGAGAAACAAGAGTTTACCTAAGGAACTTGTATAAATAACATTCTATTAGTTAAATACAGTTATTTAATTTTTGTAGCTGGATATTTATTACAGAGTTTTGGTTTAGTGACCATCATGGCCCTTGCTTATATGGCCCTGTGCACGAATTCGTGCATGGGTGGATTCCGGCTGGGTCGGCCTGCCCCAATGGGGGAGGGCTGGCAGCGAAGTGGGGGGGAGGAGCAAAAGGGGAGGCAGGGTGGAACACAAATAGGGGTGGTGCCAGCCAGGAGGAGGGGCTGTGTGAGGTTGCTGGGGGCCAATCGGGGACCCAGTCAGGCCAGTTGACCACTGTAGTATGTCATAGCGACTGGTCATTCTGGTGGTTCCGTTGTTCTGGTTGCTTGGCTTTTATATATATAGATAGTATGGCAGCCCTCTTCCAGAAAGACTAGTCCTCTAGTTTTCACACAATTAGTGATACACTGTAATTCTGCAACAGTTTCTTATAAATGTATATATATCAGAATCAATACTTTATAGTTTCTTTATTGAAGATAAAACTAACAAATGATTCAGTTTTTTTTAATGACAACTTCATAAGGGAGGTACTATTATTACCTCCATAAGACAGTTGAGAAAACCATGTTTAAGCCTACAAAGTAAGTTGGACAAAATTACAGAGCTAGAAAATTATCAGTCAAGCTATGAACTGAAGCTGATTCCCAAACTGTGTTGCTGCACTTAGTTTAATGGCATGTAATACTGGCTCCGTTTCAAGCATAAATATAGAGTAAATGGTTGTTCAATAAGTGTGCATTTCCTTTTGATACCCATTTATACAGGCCCTCAGGTTACTTACAAAGAATCCAGAACTTTTCAAAAATATATATTTTATTGATTTTTTTACAGGGAGGAAAAGGGATAGAGAGTTAGAAACATCAATGAGAGAGAAATATCAATCAGCTGCCTCCTGCATACTCCCTACAAGGTATGTGCCCGCAACTAAGGTACATACCCTTGACCGGAATCGAACCTGGGACCCTTGAGTCTGCAGGCTGATGCTCTATCCATTGAGCCAAACCGGTCAGGGCAAGAATCCAGAACTTTTATGATGGCTCCTCTTATAGTTCATATTTTTCAAAATCCTCTCCACTGTAACTTGTGTGACTTTTGTCCTGATTTCTCAGAAGTCTGTTTTCTAATTTTCAGTGTTTCATGGGCATCTTTTAAAATTTTTCTATATCTGTGTACTGTCTATACTGTTACTTAATTTCTCATTAGATTGCCTTTTTAAGTATTTTCTCATTTTAAAGTAAGAATATCAGTAAAATGGCATGTTTTAACTGGTAATATTTTTTCTAATATGCAATACAAACCTAACTATTAAAATATACTTTTGTGTAATGCTTAAAATCATCTCACATACCAGTCTGGCAAATAGTAATCCAGCTAGTCTGGAACTAATCTTAGTTAAGGCATGAATGACTGGTAACGGTGCTTCTTACCCCCCCTCCCTCCAGTATTATTTTCATTTAAGCAGTATTTTTTATTATGTGCCCTAAACAACAAAGTAATCTAGAAAATATTCAGAGATTGAGGCAAGGCCAATTGTAAAGATGGCTTTTTGGTGGAGCAAATACTAAATCAGTCAAAAAATATTTTCTGTTTTACTGAAGTTCTCAAATCACTTGCCATAATTTGGAGCTTTATTTGTGATCTTTTACTTATTTCCCATATTTAACCTATCAACAAGTTCGAAGAATTTGACTTACAAAGTATCCATGTATACCACTGCCACTCTAGTTCAGATCACCATCATCTCCTAATTACTATGGAATCCTGCGCATCTATCATACTGCTTTTACTATTCATTCTTCACACAGCACCAATGGTATCAGGAATCCAGACATACCCTGATTACTTATATGGACTTAATTTGTATGTTTATAAAACAAGGCATGTCACTATCTTAAAAGATGCCTAACTTTGGCCAAAAATGAAGCTTTAACAGTCTAATCAATGCATTAAGTTTGAGTCAGTCAGTGATTTTTTAAGAAAGATGGCCATGTTTTCACATAAATCATTTAGTTAAAATTTTTATTTTACATTATGAAAGTAGAAAAGGGAAAACCAAATCAAGCTAAGAGGCTCTAATTTTTTAAATAAAATAAATATTTTAAAAATATATTAGGATATATTCTAAGAATGTTGAAACCCTATTGACAATAATTCAATATAGATGATAATCATAACCCTGAACAGCAAGTAAAAGCTTTTTATTGCTAACAGGAACCCTTTAGTGAATGCTAGGCATGATGCTACAGTTTTACCCACGCGATCTCAGTTGAGAGTTGTGATGGTAGGTACAGTCATTTACCAGTTTTACATATGAGGAATGAAACTGACACAAGTTAAACCTAGATCTGACCCTTCTATAAGTGTTCCCTGTAAAGCTATGTATTCCTAGTGTTCCAAGATTTAGAAATATGTGACATTTTAGAAAGTTATTAAATAGTTCTGTTTAAGTCAACTATCTTCCAAAGTAGTTACCCTGCAGGTACAAGGACAGTTTGTACTGCAGTTGTATGTTCTGATGATCTTCATTTACCTTTTGAGATTGTTTTTTGTTTTTTTTTTTAACTTCAGTTAGAGAAACTAAAAGCGGAGTTGGATGAAGCTAGGCTTAGTGAAAAGCAGCTGAAGCACAAAGTAGAACATCAGAAGGAACTTCTCTCTTGTAAATCAGAGGAAATGCGGGTAATGTCTGAACGTGTGCATGAAAGCATGTCTTCAGAGGTGTTGGCTCTTCAAATTGAACTGACGGAAATGGAAAGTATGAAGGTAATTTTTATGGCACTGGTGTTTCTGGATTTTCTTCCCCCTTTTTGCATATGTTTTACATGTTTTTGTAATGATCATTATGAGCTAGTTTTAAAGCTGGATTATTTTTTGGCCTTTTTAAAAAAAATATTTTAATATTTTATTGATTTTTACACAGAGGAAGAGAAAGGGATAGAGAATTAGAGACATTGATTAGAGAGAAACATCATTCAGCTGCCTCCTGCACACCCCCTACTGGGGATGTGCCTGCAACCAAGGTACATGCCCTTGACTGGAATCGAACCTGGGACCTTTCAGTCTACATGCCGATGCTCTATCCAAACCGGTCAGGGCTAGCCTAACTTTTATCTGAACCAAACCGGTCAGGGCTAGCCTAACTTTTATCTAACTAAAGTGTTTTACAGAGTTTTAAGGGAGATTTATTAAAGCATAACAAAGCTTTAAATTGCGTGATATGTAAGGCAGACTTTATCATTAGGTTAATGAAACCTCTGGAATAATTTGGAGACATTTACTTTGGTCCTAGTTTGTATCATTTATAAAAACAAAACAAAAACCCCAATATAAAATGCTGGTCCAGTGGAAGTTAATGTGCATATGAACCTAGTTTGTTTCATTGCAGGCTAAGGATAATTAAATATTAAAACCTTAAATTCATAGGAAAGAAAAATAGTCTCTAGAGCCTTTTTTTCTTCCCTGCTGAAAAATTCAGTAATTTTTATTATTTCATTATGCACGTTATAAAACCTTTAACTACTTCTTTAGTTTTAGGTGTGAATCATTGCTGATAGATGAATTGAGCAGCTGCTAAATAAAAGATTATTCAAGAATTTCCTCTTTTCCAATTTCTATTGAATAGACCACCCTCAAAGAAGAAGTGAATGAACTGCAGTACAGACTAGAACAACTAGAGCTTCTGAATTCTAATCTAATGCGCCAGGTCGACCGGCTTACAGAAGAAAAAGAGGAGCGAGAGAAAGAAGCGGTTTCTTGTTACAATGCCTTAGAGGTATTATGATTGCAGTAATATCTTTTCAAATTCATCTTAAGCTTTTTTCTTGCTAATCTAATTGTTATTGGCTAAGTTGTTTTCTTTTTAATTTAGAAAGCTCGTGTAGCAAATCAAGATCTTCAAGTGCAATTAGACCAAGCACTTCAGCAAGCCCTGGATCCCAATAGTAAAGGCAACTCTTTGTTTGCAGAGGTACTTACAAGCATTCCATTGATTAAATTGGCATTTCACTTAACACAAGCATAATTAAACATGTTAATATTTTCTAGGTGGAAGATCGAAGGGCAGCAATGGAAAGAAGGTTTATCAGCATGAAAGTCAAGTATCAGTCATTAATGAAGCAAAATGCATTTAATAGAGAACAGATGCAGAGAATGAAGGTATGGAATTATCACCATCAAAAGTTTAATAAACCTTTTTTGTATCAGTTTTACATTTACAGATACATCAAAGAAAGCATCTTTTCCTTCAATGAGTGTACTTACAACATTATTTCTAGAACTGAATGATTTTAGAAAATCAGTATTTTTAAGTTGAGCAAAAGATCCATCTATATTTTTAAAAATCCTATATAAAGATTTAGTTGTAGTATATTTAGTACCCAATGTTTGTTTGATTTTGTAATAGTTACTCACTAGCCTTACCAGAGAGGTATAAATCTTCCTTTGTGGATTGGAAAAGGGGGAATTAAATGTTTTATTTCTTGTTGTTGGGTTGGTGTCTTTTTTAGCATAGTCCTGAGATTTCTACTTAAACTGAAAGTAGTCCTCTCAACCTTTAGTTCTCCAATAGCTTATTTATAGGGTAAAATTTGAATTGCCTTTCCTCACAATTCCTCAAGTCAAGTGTATAGGCCCTTTTAATTTTAAGGGTTTGTTAGTCATCATATTAGGCAAATAAATGGTAACAGAAAAAACATGTAGAAGTTGGAAAGATTTTAGTGTTACACCAGCCTTAGAGTCCCAATCCCTGATCTGTATTTGTAACTTTGCAAAGGTAGTAATTCAAAGACTGGAAGGCTTCCTGCCTTTTGTTGAGGATAATGAGATCTATCAAAGAAATGGGGAGGTCAGTAATTAAACCTTGGTGGTTGAAGAACCTGGGATTGAATCCTCATTCTGTCACTTGCTAGCTGTGTGACATTGGACAAGTACTTTTACTTTTCAAAGCATCAGTAATCTGATCTGTACGATAGAGATAATAGAATCTGCCTCCTACAATTGTCCTGGAGTTAAATGTAAGCATAGAAAAATTCCTGCCTTGGGCTTGGCAAATAAGGAAGTGCTACTTAATAAACAACTGCCAGAGCTTTTATTTCTAAGACTTTTGACTCTGCTGCGTGGTTTACTGAGGCTCTCCACTTTCTGGGAATGACTTCTTTGTAAATTTTCTCACGTTTGCTCTTTGTTTTTCTTTCAATATTTGTTGAGCTCCTACTATTAACCACCCAACATTCCAGTGATATCCCAAACTATCTTGAGATGCCACTAGCAGTCTAGATTTCTTAGGCTAAGTGCATCTGGCCTCCAGTCTGAAGCAGGAACACAAAGTGGATCCTTTAAAATGTTAGAAGTCACCTTTCCCTCTTCCTTTTAACTATTCCTGCTCTCTCATATTGCTAACTTTACTCAAAATTGTATTTAAACTAATTGGCACTTTTCAGAACTTCAGATATATATGAAGGGAGAAAGAAATGTTAGGTATAGATTTTAGCTAATTTCCTTTAAATTGCAACTTTAGGTTTAGGTGAGGTCATAATTAGATAAGTTAATTCTGCTCTTAAAAAATAAATTTATGTTTATATTGAATATTCCCTTAATATCCTTAGATTGCCTTTACTCTTCGCTTTCTATCCTTGTGCTTTCTGAATCTCACATTTATGAATATAAGTAGCTTAATAATTTCTCCTACTCAATACTATTGAAGTTAATTAAAATTTTTGAGAAACCCCATGAGACCCTAATGAGAGTGCAGTCTTTGTCCAGGCTCTTTACCAGTTAGGTGATGTGCTTCCAGAACACAGCTGTGCAGTTCAATTATGTCTCACAGAAGTACAAATAATTGTTATGTACTTCGGATATCATTCATAAGTGGTCAAAATAAGTAACTTATTTACTGGTGTAAATGTTTCCAAGTTATTAGATTATTAGACTAGAAATAGCTAATTAATTTACAAAATGCGTTCAAAGTAATATAGTACATAATATGAATTATACAAAAAATATAGTTATCAGAATCTTCTCCCTCACTCAGTTTTATTGGGGGCCGGTAATTTTTTTTCCAGTTACAAATTGCCACATTGTTACAAATGAAAGGCTCTCAAACTGAATCTGAGCAGCAAGAACGGTTGTTTGCCATGTTGGAGCAGAAGAATGGTGAAATTAAACATCTCTTAAGTGAAATTAGAAATCTGGAGAAATTTAAGGTATGTGTAACACCTTTTAAAAAGGCAGCTAAATTTTGGATTGAATATCTTAATACTTTGTACTTGAATAGTTTCTTTGTTATATAATTAACGTATAGTTTCAATTGAGATTGACCAATATTTAATTTTTTTCTTCTAGTTTCTTTTTGCTTTTCACTGGCTTTGACTGTTTCTTCTTTTTATAGAGTCAGAGTAATTAACCTTCCTCATACTTGTTATTATGTGTGAGATATAACTTAAAGTGCTCATATCTTTAGTGTATAATTCAATGTGTTTTAACATGCTTTTATTTATTAGCATTAGATAGATGTACAAATAGTCTTGAGCTCCAGAGAAATGGAATCCTTTATTATATCTCCCTTGTTCAACTCAACGTCCTGTCAGTTGAGATTTGTTCCTCATGTTGCATGTTGTCAGTAATTATTTTTCAGTGCTGTCCAGCTCCATTTTTTAAAATGTTTTATTGATTTTATAGAAAGAAAGGAGAGCAGTAGAGAGATAAAACATCTACTGGCTGACTCCTGCACGCCTCCTACTTGGGGATCAAGCCCACAACCTGGGAATGTGCCCTGACCAGGAATCAAACCAGTCACCTCTTGGTGCATGGGTATATGCTCAACTACTGATCCACACTGTCTGGGCCAGCTTAGAATTTTCTTGGCTACTCTTGCATGATTGTTTTTCTCTATGAACATCTTGTGTAGCTTCAAAAAAACTTTGTTGGTATTTTTTATTAGAATTACATTAAATTTATAAATTAGCTGTGAGAGGGTATATATATATATATATATATATATATATATATATATATATATATATATATATATATATATGTTCTCACTAGCTGAATAGCTAATTAAAGTTTATAAATGACAGATTTAAAAAATGTTAACCTCTTGGGCATTTTAAATTATAGCCAGTAGTGTATTATGAAATTTTAAATGTATGTAACCTTTTTTTTCTCTCTCTTAAAAAGAACTGTTGACTACAATTTTGGTTAAAGTTGCAGAATATCAAATTTCAGGCTTATGTGGGTAACCAATAGGCTTAGAACTATATTTTGGAAATTAAGTCTTTACCCAGGAGGTTTTAATCTGCAATCTTTAAAATTGTTCACAAGTTTTTAAGTAATAGTATATATTTTTATCCTAAGAAATCTTTTTTTTTTTAATATATATTTTATTGATTTTTTACAGAGAGAAAGAGAGTGGGATAGAGAGCTAGAAACATTGATGAGAGAGAAACATCAATCAGCTGCCTCCTACACACTCCCTACTGGGTATGTGCCCGCAACCAAGGTACATGCCCTTGGCCAGAATCAAACCTGGGACCTTTGAGTCTGCAGGCTGATGATCTATCCACTGAGCCAAACCCATTGGGGTTACTCTAGAGAAATCTTGCAGGGTTTCCATCAGAATCTCAGAAGAGTGGGCGCCAAAATTAACTTAAGGATCTCCACTCTTTTTAAAATTTTTCTACTTTATGACTTTGTCATTAAATCCAGAATTAAACTCAGGAAGTATTTATTTCTTCTACTTTAAAAGGAGAGGGAAATCAGAGGATGCAGGTTGGTTAGGAGCCTTAACTTTGGGGACAGATCTTGGTTCAGATTCTTCTCAGTTTACTTGCCTTCGGCACCTTAAACCCGTTCTCTTATGTGTATGAGAGGGATGTTCATTCATACATCTATTATAGTTCAGAAGGTAAGTGAGTTAAATGGTTAGTGCTCATTAGCACAGTGCCTGCTATGGGACAAGCATTCAATAAATGGTAGCTGATATTATTAATAAACATTTTTCTAACCTAATTTGTTATTTATTTTAATTAATAAGAATTGTTGCTTTATTTAGAGTTTATATGAAAGTATGGAATCTAAGCCTTCAGACAACTCTAGTACTCTGAAAGATACTACCTATTACACGGATTTACTTCAGATAAAGCTTGACAACTCAAAGTAAGTGTTGGTTGGATAAAAAGATGGGAGATTCTTGTTTATAAGTAGTATTAGTGACTACATATTTTTGTTTTAATATTGCAAAAAAAAAAAAAAATCCAAAAAAGTAAAGTGACAAAAATATCTGTGGGCATTAAGCAAGATTTAATTAAGATTTAATTAGTGCTGATTATTGAAGAAAAAATACCTTTAATGAATAGTTAAATATTTTTATTTCTTTGTAAAGTTTAGCTTTTTAGATTGGTAAGTGAAAATGACTTTAACATAGAAAATGTTCTTATAATCTAAATTTTTCAAGAATGAATATCATATAATTTTAAATTTAAAGGCATTTATTCACACATGAATAAATTTGAAAAGAACATCTCCTCCTCCCTTTGTTATTTTCTTTAGAGAAAGCATGGGGTTTTTATTTTATTTAAAAGTGCCATTGTTAAAGCTTAAATATATTTTTTGACTAAGTTCTAATATATAATAAAGATTTGCACTAACGACTACACTTATTTATATTATTTAATTTTAATTATTCCTTGGTTCCCTTTTTTTATTGATATAGCAAAGAAAATGAAAGCACTAAAGGGGAATTGTCTATACAACGAATGAATGCATTATTTGAGAGTCAGCGGGCTTTAGATATTGAGCGAAAACTTTTTGCCAATGAAAGATGCCTTCAGTTTTCCCAGAGTGAAAACATGAAACTGAGAGCTAAAATAGATGAGTTAAAACTAAAGTATGAACCTGAAGGTATGTATGTCTTATAAATTTTGTCTTTTAATCATGAGAAGCTCTGCCGCTCATTTTTATACAAATCCCATTACAAAAAGATTGTATTTATGGTAAAGCATTTACTACTACAAAATGTGTAGGAAAATTCAAAGAGAACTAGGTACTAGGTATGCATGAATATAATAGCTATTTTTGAGTATCTGTATAAGAGAACCTTGAGATTTGAGACTTTTTCACTTAAGACTGCAGCATCTCATGTAATGCCAAAGAGTTCAATTTCGTTGAGGCATCTGATGTTTGGGATCTATAGTAGTTAATGCTGTTTATAGAAAACCTAAAATGATGGAGACTTAAACAGGATAGATAGTTATTCCTTCCCCTCATAAAAGTCTGGAGGAGGCATTCCAGGACTGGCCAGAGTCAGGATCTAGATTTCATTTGCATTGTTTGTCAGTATACATCTTGAGCACAATTTAGTCATGGCCTCATCTGCCTTCAAGTAAAGCTGAGAAATGCAGTCTTTTTTCAGGGTCCATGTTCCCAATGAAATATTGGGGATTCTGTAATTAAGGAAGAATAGTAGAACCAAATATTAGAAGGCAACTAGCAAGTATAATCACTCAGATAGAAAATACCCACTTTATACACTAAAGAGTGATTTTACTATACCTAAATCCTACTTAATAAAAGGTTAATATGCTAAGTATCTGGTTGACCAGTCAGCTGTTCAACCAAAGTATAATATGCTAATGATATGCTAAAGCTACTCAACCGCTCACTATGACGTGCACCAACCACCAGGGGACAGATACTCTGACTGGTAGGTTAGCTTGCTGCTGGGATCCAGCCATTCGGGGACTCAGCAAGACAGGCTGGACACACCCTGGAGCCCTCCTGCGGTCCCTCCCCAGCTGGCCAATGGCCCCGATCCTGCACCGGTGGGGTCCCTCAGCCTGACCTGCACACTTTTGCAATCTGGGACCCTTTGGGGGATGTTGGAGAACCAGTTTTAGCCCAATCCCTCAGGCCAGACTGAGGGACCCCACTGATGCACAAATACATGCACTGGGCCTCTAGTCCTATATAATAAAAAGCTAATATGCAAATAGACCGAACAGTGGAACAACTAGTCGCTATGATGTGAGCTGACCACCAGTGGGCATGTGGGGAATATGGCGGATGTTGGTCACAGCTGGATGGTGGAGCAGGTGAGCGGGGGTGCCAGACCAAGCTGGTCATTGTCATCAGGGGGAACCTCAGTGGTTACTGAAAATTCTTTGCTCCTATGTCCCGTGGTCCCACCCAGTGCTCGAACCTGCTGCTGGCAATGGCCTGGCTTGCACCTGCTGCAGGTGCCAGAGCTGCAGCTCACACTCCATGTCTGTGCCTGGTGCCGATTCCGGTCACTCACTGCCATCAGTGGGTGCAAGCAGCAGCTGCCAGCCCTGATTGCCCTTCTGGGCTCTTCTCCATTTCCTCATGCTCCTGAGGGGTGCTTGGGGCAGCAACCGTCACTCATACCCACTGCTGGTGCCAGCCCCACTCTAACCGCTGCTGGTGCCAGCCCCAATCACTCTGTGCCATCAGCAGGTGTAGGCAGGGCCAGCACTGTCAGCTTGTGGGAATGGTGGCTGTGGGAGCGGGGCTGCTGGCAGACGGGATTGGGGACCACAGTGGGAGGGGCTGGGCGGGGGCATGGAGGATGGGCCAAGACCTGCCCTGGTGCCTACCATAGCTTCACAGCCCACAGTTTCTTTCAAGGCACACCAGTTTGTGCACTGGGCTCCTAGTTAAGATATAAAAGGCCAAAAGTAAATAAGTCTAAGAGTGTGATGGTTCTTACACAAAAAAAGTGTTATTTGTTTTAGGTTATAGCTTTTCAGCAGTTTTTGTGTCAATACTGTTCACATGGGTAACACTATTTTCATTATTGTTTCGAAGACTGGAGTTATTCTCAACAATAATGGGAAAGCTGTCTGCAGTAGTAAGGTGTTTTTAGTTAAAAAGACTTCTCTTTCCCTAATTCTCATAGGCTCTCCTGATTAAGAATTAATCCATTTTCAATTTCAAAGGTTGCTGAACTGAATGAACATAGCAGAGAGACTTGAAGCAGTATAGTAAACCTAGATGATGTGGATTTTAAAGGAGCAGTGAAAGAGAAAGGGGAAATAATCCTATATAATAAAGGGCTAATATGCAAATGGTTATCACACCCTCATGCCATAACGCCAAAATGGCTCAGACACTAAACCCTGGGGAGAGGGTGGGGTACCAACCAGGCACAAATGAGCTCACGAGAGAGGAGTGGGGACCAGCCAGGCTGCCCATCTTATGGCCCAGCGACTGGGGCTGCGGCCTGGGAGAGGATCAAGCCTCCCGCCCCGAGATCCTGGATGTGGAGCTGCATAGGGAATGGAGTGTGTTATGTTAAGCAATGGGGTTAGAAGGACATTGTAGTAATCTGCAGTGAGACATAATAATATGGTTTGAACTAGGGAGGTATCCATGGTATAAGTACTCAGGTTTTGAATATATTTTGTAGGGAAGGCTAATAGGCACAAGTTATCATATTCAGACAATTTGACCTGTTTTTGTGTTTTATTTTCACTTCATCCTTACAAAACACAATATTGAATCAGATGAGTACTTTTAATTCCCATTTTAAAGATAAAGAAAATCTCAGAGAGGTTAAATACTTGCCCAAGGTCATTCACCTGCAGAGTGCTTTGTATACTAGGATTTGGACCTGGATTCCTTGACTCTTAGCCGTGGGATCCTTCCTCATCTTCACACTGTGATCTTATGAAGCCCCATACAACCTTTACCACAATATCAAAAAGAACATTGAAGTGTTCATTTCTAGAGACAGATATATTGAGTTCCTGAAGAAAGTGACAGGCAGATGACTTCTAAAAGACAAAGTTAATGGAGTCCATGAAAAAGAATAATAAAATACAGAAATAAAATTATTTATTAAGGAGATTAGTGGGTTTTAAAAGAATGGGGAGAGGAAAACTATATAACTAGTTCTACCTCTTTATGTGGATTGTGTCTTTGACTTATTAACTGGATGTACTTTTAATGATTTTATTCTCAGAGAAAATTGAAGTGCCTGTACTCAAAAAGAGGCGTGAGGTACTGCCTGTGGATATAACCACCCCTAACAACGTATGTTCTAACAGTGCTGTCGGGGAAGAAGTTTCTAGATCACTATCTCAGAAAGAGGAGGCGAAGTCCGGTACTAGCAACTTAGAAGTTAACAACTTGCAGTTAGAAAAGACAGTTTCTTTAAACATATCCGGAGTTACTCTCTCTCCTCACAAAAACCTGACCATGAATATTCAGCCAACGAAGGAAAAGAAATGTGTGAAACTTGTAGAAGTTCCAGCCATAAGTGAAAGAAGTGGAAACTCCCCAGACTCTCACAGGTCAGTGTCCTCTCTTATTCAAGGCAACCAGCATTTCTCTCCATCTCTTCTCTATGACTGCATGAACTGTGCTGTTTCTTCATCTATTTTCTTAGTGTTACATCCAGTATAATTTCTTCTAACTATTTTCAACATTTTAAAAACTTTAAGAAAGACTAAATGATTGCAAGGGGAAAGCACTTCTGAATAAGGAAATTATGTTTTAATGTTATACTTTTTTGTTTCATGAAACAATCATCACAGTTTAATACGTCTGAACATTTTGTTGGTTTGGATAAGTGTACAGTTATTGTTTTCCTGGATCAATAGGAACCAGGCCAGGCTGATGTTGCTCAGTGGTTGAGCATCGACTTACAAACCAGGAGGTCATGGTTTAATTCCCAGTCATAGCACATGCCTGAGTTGCTGGTTCCATCCTCAGTTGCAGGCATGCAGGAGGCTACTGATCAATGATTCTTATCATTAATGTTTCTATATCTTCCTCTCCCTCCTTCTCTGAATTCAATTAAAATCCTATATAATAAAAGGCTAATATGCAAATTGTCCCTTGGGAGTTTGACTGACCGGGAGTTCAACCACTTGCTATGATGTTCACTGACCACCAGAAGGCAGCAGAGGGTGAAGGAAGGCCCTGGCTGGCAGCCAGAAAGCCCCAATCAGCCCTCATTGCTGGCAGCCAGGGGACGGAAGGCCCCAGCTGGCAGCTGGAAAGCCCTGATTGGCCCTGATCGACAGCCAGGTCTAGGACCCTACCTATGCATGAATTTCTTATCCTGGGCTCTAGTATATGAAAAAAAAAAGAAACGAAAAAAAAAAGAATGGTGATTAAAGAAATATCAGCTTACCTCTTAAAATGGCTTTCTAATGGTCTAAGAAATTTCAGCCTTTTGGAAAACTTTAATAAAAATTTTATGTCTTTTTAAATGATTTATCCTAAGCCTTTAAGTATGGGCTTTGATTCCTGTTTTGACATTTTTAAATATCAGAAATAAGTAAATACATATATTTATTGATTTCAGAAAGGAAGGGAGAGGGAGAGAGAGATAGAAACGTCAGTGATGAGAGAGAATCATTTATCAGCTGTCTCCTACATGTCCCCTACTGGGGATTGAGCCTGCTACTTGGGCATGTGCCCTTCACCAGAATCAAACCTGGGACCCTTCAGTCCGCAGGCTGACACTCTATTCATTAAGCCAAACTGGCCTGGGCAAAAGTAAGTTCACTTTTGTTTTATATCAAAACTTCAAAGCTTTTAGTTTCTGCATATTTGATTTTGTGACTAAAATAGAAAATGTCTAGACATGTATACTCGCGTTTTAAGAGCCTTAGCTTTAAAAAAATATTAAAGTAATAAAGGTCAAAAGGTAAGAAAGTAAGTGGAAGAGTAATATCTCATCACTGTTTATTTTTTTCTTAAATTATTCTCCTAGTTGAAACGCAATTTTATTTCTTTTATGAGACAAATACACATCTATTTATGCAGCCCAGGATCTCATGCTATTTTTACCTTATACATTTTGCTTTTTGTATATTATGTTAACATTAAACTAGTGCTACAGCATTGTAAATCTTTTCCCTAGATGTGCTTATTATGATAGGCACCCTCATTATATGTTAGTTCTTTAATTTTAGGCTTTGCTCTGACTTTTTATCAACCTGAAAGATATTTCTTTAAACATTTAAAAAAGTGAGTCTATTGACATAAGATATTCTTTTAGAGAGTCAGTGACTTAGTTTTCTTAATGATATTAGAGTCAACTATAATGTTTTTCCTTATAAAAGTAAAAAAATCACCATATTTACTAGAGGCCCATTATACTAGAGAATGCTCTCTTCTTTCTTTTTCTTAACCACACTTGAATTCAGAGTAGTGCTTTAATGCCTGTAGGTTATCTCCTGAATCAAAGCTTCAAACAGAAGTTAAAGAAGAAAAAGAAACCACAAGAAAATTGGAAAAGAAAACTTGTAAGAAATCACACCCTGTTTTATATGTGTCCTCTAAATCAACTCCAGAGAATCAGTGCGCTCAGCAGTAAAGACTGATCTTTAATAAGAGTAAAGTAACACTTGCCCAAAAGATTGCTTTGGAGGTGAATTAAGATTGTCTTCATCTGAAGTATATAACCTTGTAGGTTATTTCTTTCTACTCACTGTCCAGGACCTGGCATGTTCATACTGTTTTGACCAAATGTTCTAAATTTGGTTGTGATTCTAACCAGGAGAGTTCTTTAAGTAATGGTCCTTCATGGGACATCTGTGTGAATAAACTATTAAATGAAGGAAGGTGTTGTTATAAATCTATTTGTTGCATTGTATATGGATTTTTAAGTGATATTACCACATACCATCAGAGCCATATATTATATTGTAACTGGATTTTGTCAGTGTTTAAAGTACCTATGTTCATCTTTGTATTTTTGACTAAACGTTCGAAATAAAGATTTTGTTTTTCCTTTAAATGATTATGGTCTGGTCTATAACTTAATTTCATATATACTATAAGGGGGTGTATACTAGTAATCTAATTACTAAAATTCTGTAGCACACCAAAAAATATATTTTTTGCTGATCTAACAAAAGGGGGGGGGGGTAATAATTTTGATTCATTCACATTAGATAGCTATTGTGTTGACTGTGGTCATTTTTTTATTTGATAATCTAAGGGAAGAGGTCAGTGCCCCTGACTAAATAGTCAGGTATTGCATGTTTTATAAAGTCTTGTAGCACAAAAGTGGTTCTACTGTGGCATACAAATTAAAAGTTGCTGGTCTATAATGTTTAGAAATAGGCAGAGAGATTTATTTTAAGGAATTGGCTTACATGCAAATGGATGCTGATTAAGTCCAAAATCAGCAGTCCAAAAGCTGCAGGGTGGAGACCCACGGAAGAGCCAATGTCAGTTTGCTTGAAAACTGTCTGCTACAGAATTCTACAATGGTCAAGGTCAGTCTTTGTTCTATCTAGAGTTTCAATTAATCACATGCATAGGCTTACCCATGTTGTGAGGAGAAATCTGCTTTATTCAAAGTTCACAGATTTAAATGTTAATCTCACCTAAAAGCAATCTCAGAAACATCTTATTAATAAAAGAGTAATATACAAATTAACCATCATTCAGCTACATGCAAAAGTCACACCCACCAGCCAATCAGGAATGAATATGCAAATTAACCCAACCAAGAGAGCTAGCAGAAGGCTTGGGTTTCCCTGGTAATGGAGAAAGCCAAGCTTTCTGCACACCCTGGCAGGCCCAGGCCTCCACTCAAGGCTACAAAGTTTCAATTATAGAAGATAATTGAAAATTATCAACAAAAATGAAAGCAGCCACGGAGCTGGAGAGAACAGGAGTCTTGATTTGCTCAGGTGATGGAGGAAACCAAGCTTCTGCAGTCCTTGGCCTCCACTCAAGGCTACAAAGATTCAATTATAGAAGATAAATAAACCCCAACAAAAATGGCTTCGGCCATGGAGCAAGCAGGAGGGTTGGCTCTGCTCAAGGCTACAAAATTTCAATTATAGAAGATAAATCTCAGATACCAGGGCCTCTGCTTCCTTCACCAGAGGGCATGGCTGGCCTGCAAACCACAGGCCCCTCACCCAGACCACCACATGTCCCAAGGGAACCCCCACCCTGATCCAGGACACCCTTAAAGGCAAACCAACTAGCCCTCACCTGTGCACCAGGCCTCAATCCTATCTAATAAAAGAGTAATATGCAAATTGACCATCACTGCAACACACAAAGACGGCTGTCCCCATGTGGGCACAAAATGGCCACCACAAGATGGCCAGCAGGGAATGGTAGTTGGGAGGGACCAGGCTTGCAAGGGAGGGCAGTTGGGGGTGACCAGGCCAGCACAGGAGGAAAGTTGGGTGCGACCAGATCTGTAGGGAAGGACATTTGGGGGGAGACCCAGGCCTGCAGGGGGTGGCATTTGTGGGGAAACCAACCCTGCAGGGGAGGGCAGTTATGGGTGATCAGACCTGCAGGGGAGGGCAGTTAGGAGCAAATAGGCTGGCAGGGAAGCAGTTGGGCATCAATCAGGCTGGCAGGGAAGTGGTTAGGAGGTGATCAGGCTGGCAGACAGAAGCTGTTAGGGACAATCAGAAAGGCAGGCAGGTGAGCAGTTGTCAGCCAGTAGTCCTGGATTGTGAGAGGGATCCCAGATTGGAGAGGATGCAGGCTGGACTGAGGGATACCATTCCCTCCCCTTCGCCCCCCCCCCCCCCCCCTGCACAAATTTCCAGCACTGGGCCATTAGTATATGAATAGTTATGTCTAACATTTGAATCAACCTAATGTGCCAAGCACTGTTTTAAGCCTTTTCATGTATTGCCACATTTAATCTCATCTCTGTGATTTGGATATTATATTTAACTTATTCTCATTTTAGAAATGAGGAAACCAAGGCCTCAAAGTGGTTTAAGTTACCTGTCCAAGGGCACAGGTGTTAGTGAGTGGTGAAAAAGTTAAGAGTGGTAGAAGTTGTAATAGAATATCTGATGTCCTAAAGGAACTGAGACAGAAACAAGAAACTGCCTGGTCTCTTTTTACTTTTTTTAAATTTTTTTTTAAATCTTTAAGTTTAGATTTCTTCTGTGGTTTCCCAAGTCATAGAGAGAATAGCATTCCAGCAACAACTACAGTCAGCAATAACAAACTTTGGTGAGGGGAGAAATCTGATTTTTAGAGTTGGCACATGATAATATTCAAAAGTGCCCAATTTTCAACAACTATTACAACGCAAGAACCAAAGTATGATCCAAAAATAAGAAAAAATAAACTGCGCCAGACATTGGACTTACTAGACAAAAACTTTAAATGAAAACAATTTTAAATATGCTTAAAGGGCCAATGGCATAAGAACAATGGCAAATAGAGACTACCAATAAAGAGAAACTGTTTAAGGAACCAGATTGGAACTGTGGAGTTAAAAAGTACAATAACAAATGAGAAGCTCACGTTCAACAGCAGATTTGAAAAGTAAATAGAAGAATAAGTAAAATTAAAATATTGGCCAATTGAAGATCATTCTGACTGAAAAGCAGAAAGAAAAGAATGAAGAAAAATGAGCCTAAGAGATCTCTGAGGCACTATCAAGCATGGCAATGTATATAAGCCTAAAACTGTTCTTACAAAAAAGGCTCTTTTTGTAGTTTAAAAAGTGAGGTGGGGGGAGAAGCAAAAGAGAAATGAGGGGCCTTGTAAGACAAAAGATTCACAATATCAGAGGACTCAGAAATCACCACTATTTATTAAAGACTGTACTTCACTATGATGACAGAAGGGGGCACCCTTTCACTAGGAACCTTGTAAACATACCCCAAAATTTACATGACAAATAGGCAAAAACAGACAAAGCTTTTATAAGAAGGAAACAAAAAATAAGACCACCTTGCAAACTGATGACCCCATCAGCACCACTCAGCCCTCCCCTCCCAAAAGCCATATGAAGATGAAGCAAAGTATAATTTTCTTGTGGATTCTAGAACACTCAATGCTATGGAATTTTTAAATTGAGAAAAATCCTCAAAACCTTACCCACACACTCAAAAAAATAAAAAATAAAAAGTAAATAAATAAACAAATAAACAAATAAATAAATCAAGCACTTACAGAGGCTAGAGAATATAACATCAGACTTACCCAGAACAGTATTCAGAAGAAGGTGTTAATCATACAGACTTTAAAAGAACTTTAAGGAAAGAAATTGTAAATCTTGGACTTTATTTGCATTGAAGTTATTCTTGAGGCATCAAGGCTATAGGAAAACCTTTTAAAAATGACAAGAAGGATTTTTTTTTGTACCCATGAACCTCCTTGAATAATCTCTTAAAAATAATCATCACAACAAAAGATGACTGGGAAAACTTTTGAAGAACTGAACAAAGAAATGTATTGTGGATAATTGGAACCAGATTTCTCACTGTTGGAGAAGGAAGTTCAACTAAATGAGGATAGCCTTGCCAATGTGGCTCAGTGGTTGACCCTATGAACCAGGAGGTCATAGCTTGATACCCGATCAGGGCATATGTCCAGGTTGCAGGCTTGATCCCTGATGGTGCAGGTGGCAGCCAAACAATGATTCTTACCATTGATGTTTCTATCTCTCCCTCTCAATTTCTGAATTCAATATATATGTATTTAAGCCAACTAAATGAGGGGAAGATTAAATGAATGGTAAAGGCTGAAAATGACTACTGTGGTGTTGGATTCCATATGAACTAGGTTTTTGAGAGATTTTTAAAAATTAGGTACATATGTATACATATATATACACATATACAAATATGTGCACAGATATACAGACACATTTACACACACACACACTACTATATCTGCTGATCCTTAGAAAATGGCATCTCAATAGCAATGAGCTCATCCAACACATCTAGTACCCAGATCTTAGTTTCATATCATTCTCTACTAAGTGAACCATTTCATTGAAAGATGACTACTTTCAGGACTAGGCTGAAATGAATGAGATGTCCCTAAGCATCTTGTTCCCAAAAGTAAGAAAGTGCTTCAATGATGAGGGCATGTTAAAATGACATGGGCATCAGCTTGAAGTGACGCCCACTGTCCAAATCTAGGACAATTTGAGCCTCTAAATAAATGATGGTGATGGGTTATATTGAATAGAATAAGAAACCGTGAATCCATAGTTTTGAATAAATACATTAATAAATTAATAAATAAGGGAAAGCTTTTTCTCACAGTAGACACTCATTTAATACATCTAGAAAGAATGGTAGAATTCAAAGATCACTACTTGGTAATTAATAAATGATTTGGAAAAGAATTACCAATAGTTCCTAAAACTAGTGAACTAAAAGTATGATGAACCCATGGGTACTGTGGCTTAGTTTTTTGAAGTGTCATCCATGCACCAAAGGATTGTGGGTTCTATTCCACATTTGGGGCATGTGCAAAAGGCAATAACCAATGTTTCTCTTTATCTCCCTTCCTCTCTAGAGTGAATAAATATGTCCTTGGGTGAGGATTAAAAATAATAATAAAATAAAAGTATGATGA